GTGGTGGGCCAGGGGCGCGGGGCTAGCCGAGACCTGGAAGAGCCTGGGGCGAGGACTCGGAGGGCGGGGGAGGGCGTGCGTCTGGAATGGGATGCCGCGGAAAGGAGGGGCCCCTCCTGAGTAGATCTGTGGGTGGCTCCTCTCGGGGAGCCGCCTCTCCCCTTGTGCCCTTCGGTTTGCCTACGAGAGAGCCCCCATGGTCTCTGTTCAAGTTCTGGAAACTCTGTCTCTGGGTGGGCTTAATCACTTACTACTTCATTGTAGACCCACCCCTGGCCTTTCCTGATTGTGGGCACAAGCGTGGGGAACATGTCCGAGAACAGGAAGCCGCTGCTGGCCTTCATGGGCAAACTCCCCAGTGGGACTGCGCCTGGCAGCTCGGGCAAGACTCACTGCCCTTTGTGCATGGGGCTTTTCATAGCCCCCAAGCTCTTGCCCTGTTTGCACACAGTTTGCACCAAGTGTCTGGAGCAGCTGGAACCCTTCTCAATAGTGGACATGCGAGGGGGAGACTCGGACGCAAGCTCAGAGGGGTCCATATTCCAGGAAGTCAAGCCACACACTCTAAAACCGCAGATCGGCATCCTCTGTCCGGTATGTGACGCTCAGGTGGACCTGCCCAAGGGTGGAGTGAAGGCGTTAACCATAGACCACCTGGCCATGAACGATGTGATGCTGGAGAGCCTGCGCGGGGAAGGCCAGGGCCTGGTGTGTGACCTGTGCAGCGACAGGGAAGTGGAGAAGAGGTGTCAGACCTGCAAAGCCAATCTCTGCCACTTCTGCTGCCAGGCTCATAGGTAAAGATGGGTTGCCCCACCTGGTGTGGCCTAAGAGCGGGATGCAAGCAGGTGTCAAGACAGAAGTCCCTTGGTGACAGGTGGAAAGGAAAGCTTTTTCAAACCCCAGCGATTAATAGGCACTAACAGCAAATACTCACGCCAGTGGTGAATCCCTCTAGACTGAAGTGATACCCACAGCAATAGCAGCAAAGGTTTGCACAGTCCTTCGGTTGACAGAGCACATTGACATTTTCTGCATGCTGGAGAAACGAGAGAATGCATAGATTAGCCGCTGCCCTTCACCTGTTTGATGCTTGCAACCGCAGAGGGGGGGCGGGTTTCCCCCCTCCTTGTTTGAGGAGGCTGAAGTTCAGCAGTACATGATGTGGCAAGGCCCACAGCTGGTATGTAGGTGGCAAAACAATCTGAAGTCCAGGTCTGCTTGCATTCTGGTCTCTGCTAACCCTGCTGCCTTCCCTGTGCCCGCTGCCTGGCGGCCCACCCCAGGCTTTGCCTGTACCCCACCCTCGACTTCCTCTGGATTGGGAAGTAGGCTGGTTGTGCTCACGGGGGTTCAGGGCAGGTCCTTTTTGGCATTTGGTGGGCAGTTTGTCACACAGAGCTCTGTCCCGTCTCCACCCTCTCACGCCAGGCCATGACATAAAATGACTAGGGTTTTAGGATTAGTGTAGAATAGTTTTAAAATCCTGCCTTCCGTTTGTCTGACCTCGCCAACAGAACAAGCTAGACGTCTTCAGTCTTTCTGTTTTTAACTTGCAATTCTGATAGTCTGCCTTGCTGCCCCCAAACAGCTGACCCTGCTCTCTCTAAGCCACCTTCTGTGCCAGGACAGACACCCAAGCTTCAAGTTGCTGCAGTGCTAGCAGGGAACTCTGCATAGTCACTGTGACTTCTTGGGGATTCCCTAACTCTCCTGGGGTACACAGAACGTGGCATTAAAGAGCTTTGATTCACTGACTTCAGTGAAGCCTTTCTAAAAGGTCTGGGTGACAGAGGCTGAATCAGTGAAAGGAAATGCTTTGCCAGGACTGAGCACGCTAAGCGGGTTCCTGCTGCGGCTGGTGAGCTGCTCTTCAGCTGCCCGGGTTTGTCCCTGTGCCACCTGGCGCCGCTGTCTCTGGCGCTGCTTTGCACCACGCTCCTTCCACTCGCTTGTGAGAGAAGGCTGGGGCTTGTCTCGCCAACTTAACTCTTTGGGGAGAGTCCCAGGGTCCAGTTGTGACACTGGTGGAGCCCTGGCCCAAGCCAGCGAGCCTCAGGGCCGTCCCACGGCGCTCTCCGAAGGCTGGTCCCCGGGGGCAGACGAGGGGCTGCAATCAGAGGCGGGCGGCCACGGGAGGGCAGCGGCCACGGGAGGGCAGCGGCCACGGGAGGGCAGCGTGAGCAGCTGCCAAGCCCGACTGCCAGACGGTCTCCGAGCTAGGGGACTCCCTAATCTCTTTCTGCCTCTGCTCCCAGGCGGCAGAAGAAAACGGCCCAGCACCCCATGGTGGACCTAAAGGATTTAAAAGGCCACAGCCGCGTCGGGAAGCCCGTCCTGTGCTTGGCTCACCCCGCGGAGGAGCTGCAGCTGTTCTGCGAGGTCTGCGACCGGCCTGTGTGCCGGGACTGCGTGCTGGGCGAGCACCGGGAACACCCCTGCGACTTCGCCAGCAGCGTCATCCACAAGCACGGGGACGCCGTGCGCGAGCTCCTCAGGGACACCCGGCCCCACGTGGAGGCCCTGGAGGAGGCGCTGGCGCAGACCAGGGGCGCAAGCAGCGCCCTCCAGGAGCGCGTGGCGGCCGTGGCGGCCGACGTCCGCGCCTTCTCCGAAGGCTACATCAAGGCCATCGAAGAGCATCGGGACAGGCTGCTGCGGCAGCTGGACGGCATCCGGGCCCAGAGGGAGAACTCCCTGCAGCTGCAGAAGGCGCAGCTGGAGCAGCTGCTGGCAGACATGCGGACCGGCGTGGAGTTCACCGAGCACCTGCTGGCCAGCGGCTCCGACCTGGAGATCCTGGCCACCAAGGGCGTGGTGGTGGAGCGGCTCACGAAGCTGAACAGAGTGGAGTACAACACCCAGGCGGGCGGGAGCGACACCATATGCTTCTGTCCTCAGGAGAGAGCAGGCCGGTGCCGAGGCTATGAGGTGTACGGGGCCATCAACACCAAAGTGGTCGACCCGGCCAAGTGTGTCCTTCAAGGAGAAGGTAGGCAGGCAGCGCCCGCCGGCCTGGGGGCGCAGTGCGCAGCTGTCTCTGAGAGCGGTGGTCTCTCCAGCTTGCGCCTTCACTCAGCGGGGGCGCGCTCCCCGCCGGCCAGTTTGCCGAGGGGGACTTACTGGGGATGGTACCCTCCCTCTTTTGTGGGGGTTGTGATGCAGTTAAAGTCCTGTGCTAGGGTGAGACATGAGCCTTTCCCAATTAAAAAAAAATGGAACCACCAGGGAACTCAAGGGTAGCAGGTAGCGCTGTTTCTGCAGGATGACAGCAGGCAGGCCCAGAGGAGCATCACCTTCAGGGCAGGGAGGGGGTGGCAGGCCCAGGGCACAGATCACAAGTGGCTGTCAAGGCCTGAGGAAGATAAGATCACAGTTGGCTTTCTTCTATGCCCTCTTGAGTCCTCTAGAGTTCGCCATCACCGGCATTTAAAAGTGTGGGGGCATTTCACTCAGCAGAGGAAAAGCCGATTCCTCTGGACAGTGGTCCCTAAGGAGGCGTGGTGTTCAAGCCTGCAGTGCGTAGGTCATCCTGGCAGGAAGACCGCGTCCAGATTCACCCTGGCCCCACCCTGGGGCTCTTAGCTGATGTGAGGGCAGAGATCTCTTTGGGAATCCTTGCTCCAAGGAAACACTGCTGACGTGGGCACGGCATTTCAGGAGCCTCTTAGACCTCATGTCTTTCATGAACGCCCGGTAAGAAACCTGTTCAGGTGACTGCTGCTCCAGGAGCTACAGCCCTGTAGTTCTCACCACACGAAGCATCCAAGCTATACCCCCAGTCACTAGTCACCTGCACCGCTGCCAGTTCCAGCAGGAGCTACGGAGGGCGTAGTGTTAGGGTGACCGGTCTCGCGGTTTCTTCTCAGAATGCCTAAGGGCAGTCCTGAGTGCTCCCAGGGCTGACTCCATGTCACCAAGAGCTGCGACAGCCAGGCTCACAGGAGGGCCGCGCAGGAGCATGCTCCGGAGCCAGAGTAGGAAGAGCAGGGGAGTGGTGATGATGGAGAGCAGGAAGCACCACCTTCCCTTCTGAAGAGAAGCAGCAAGATGGCGTCTGGTCGTGGCTGTAGTTGCTGCCAGCAGCATTTGAGGGAGGCCTGAGTGTCTGTCCTTTACAGATCTCCACCGAGCCCGGGAGAAACAGACAGCCTCTTTCACCCTGTTTTGCAAGGACGCAGCAGGGGAGAGCATGGGCAAGGGAGGAGACAACATCCAAGTCACAGTTGTCCCCAAAGATAAGAAAGACAGGTCGGTAACGACGCAGCCGGTACCTGGGAATTGGGGGTGGGAGGGGGGGGTCCTGGCGACAGTGGAGGGAGCACTGTGCCTGCCCTCCTGGGGCGCTGTCACAAACTGGCCAGTCGGGCCAGCTGTGTCTTCTCCCCTGGGCTCTAGGCCCATGTTCAGTGCTCCCAAAGGCCTGACCCGCCCTCAGGTCGGCTTCAGCCCCGACGTCGACTGGACGAACGGCGGTCTCTGGGACACTGAGTGGCTCCTGTGCTGGGAGCACCGGTGTGTCGCTGGAACTCGAGGCGGGACACACTGGGCGGGGGGTGGGGGTGACCCCAGAGCCCACTGACGAGAAGCAGGAATGCCTCAAGGAGGCATCGGGAAGCCTCTCGCCTGGCGGCTGTCCTTCCCCTGTGCTGTGAGTCATCCCCGAGACGGGGCCAGCTCGGGGCGTCGCAGCGAATGTGACTTGACGGTCGGGCGTTCACGCGCGGAGTAACGGGCAGCCGAAGGGGCTGGCGCGAGTGTTAATCCTGAACTGTCGTGTCCACGCAGCCCAGTGAGAACCACGGTCCAGGACAACAAGGACGGCACGTACTGCGTCTCCTACACCCCCAAGGACCCCGGCGTCTACACGGTGCTGGTCTGCGTCAAAGAGCAGCACGTGCAGGTAGGGCGTCCGGCGTGCCCGGGGCCGGCGCAGAGGGAGCCCGGGACGTCAGAGGCCTGGCCGCTGTCAGCGCCCTGTCCCCGACTCGCTGGCGCCACGCTCGCCTCGTGCCCCCACGCTCCCAGTGGCTTGCCGTCTGCACCTGGGAAAGCGCCGTGACCGCAGGGCAGCCTGCTGGCAGACACGTGCGCGCCCAGTCTGGCGCAGAAGCGCCCCTCTGTGCAGGCTGCTCTGCCCAGCGGCCGGCCCCTGGTGAGGAAGGTGAGGGCGGACGCGGTTCGCCCCCACTGGCCCTCCAAGGACGGAGAGGCGGAGGAGGCCTCCGTGAGAGGGACGCCCGGGCGCAGACTGGGGTACC